AAGGGCATTAAAGCAGCTGATGATACACTTCCAAGTCATCCATCAAGGAAAAGTACATTCAATAATGGAAAGATATGGGTGATGGCTGTGCCCTTGAACTGTAAATAACTGGCATTATACAATGTACCGCTTTTAGAATGAGATGTATAGGGTTGGAAGAGTAAAACGTTTGAATTTAGGTGGATAGTGTTTGGATTTTTCACGATTTACAGAACAAAAAGTAAAGAGGAAAAATCTTACATTCAGTACTAGTTATTTCATGCTGCCATTTGAATAAAACATTGCACCAAATAACCATTAAGAGAACTTTCAAAATGTATATTGTCTAATCCTCAACACTAAATCTAGCAAAAGATTCGAAAGAATTTTAATTTTTTTTTTTTTTTTTGGCATGTTCACTATTTAAAAAAAGTGCTCGGAAGGATGATGCTGATGCAGTCGGTTCCGTGGTATTCTCAGACTTTGCTTTGACACAGAATATTGGTTATATTTTCATAAAGAATCAGCTGAGACCTTCCATTTTGCCCAAGGCTGCATGTAATCATTGATGAGGGAATTACATCTCACAGAGGAACTGTGAACTCTAAAGTAGCATAATGGTGTTATATTTATGATAAAAAATTGAATGGTCCAGATTGAAATTAAATGACATCATACAGACATTTTTTTCTCAGAATGTGGTTCTCAAATGGAAAGATGTTTAAGCTGTGATTTTTAGAAAGTGTTTTTTATATATAAAATATATAAATATATATATTTGATATATATAAATATAAAAAATAACAAAATATGTATTAAATAAATTTGAATTTATATTATGATGCTGTGATTTTTAACCAGAAAAAACACTGAAATCTCTTTTCTAGGCAGTACCTGGACAATAATACTGTAAGTACATGTTTAGGCTTTAATCCAGTGGTTTGGTATAGAGAGTGCAACAGACTTAAAAACTGATAATAGAGAAATGCTTTACCTAAAAGTAGACAAAGTGGAAACAGGCTTTAGAAAGCTAACTCCTGTGATACACAGGTCAGACAGATAAGTGTTTTTTTTAAGTGTGTTTTTCTGAAAGCAGTGCAGTCTTCGTATGGCACTGGGGTTCACTGAGGTTGTTTTTCTCGCCGCTGTCCTAGTTCTTTATTACTGACCACACGCATCTGACTTGTCTGTGGGATCTGTATATATTACCAAGTCTCTATGGATACATATCCCAATCATTTTGACCCAATAATGTCCATTTTGGGTCCAGTCTTGTTAATTTCACATTAAAATGTAATGAATAAAAATAACCTAATTTTAGTTGATTAAACATAATTTAATTTCAGTTTTGACTGAAACATATTTAAAATACCCCTTCTTTATGATTTAAGAGCAAGACTAAATCAAAATTGAATGTCAACATAAACGTAATAAAGCATACATCGAGTTTTTGACAAAATAAAATCTTCACTTCCTCAGCTTATGTTAACCAACCTCCAGCTCCATCTATAGTATGCAGGGATCTAGTCACAGATTTGCTCTTTGACCTATGCTCACCCACCCACCCACAGTGGCAGACACTACATAACATAATTACTGGACTGGAATTCTTTTCCAAACCCTTGGGGTTTAACTCCCTCCATTTATTGTTGGCAGTAATTCTTGTTAAACTTCCTGTTCATTGTTAACTTTGATCAAAACACTACCGTGTCACCAAATGCACTTGAAAGGGTTGTTATTCACGGATGATGTGCAGTATGATAATTACAGTTTTGTCATCCAGGTCCTAACAGACCTCTGCAGATAAAAGATACACAGTGACTTGGTCCTAAAACTCCCAGCATGAGTGCAGAGTAGATATATCATTCAGAGTATCTGGCTCTTGTGCAATCCCCCCAGCAGTATAAATGAAACCTCTCCTAATGGTTCAAAGAACCATTTACACCCACCGAGTACACAGTCTTTGTCAAGTAAGGAGAAATTTGAGTGTATCTATTGAGTCCACTCATTTTCTGTCAGTCATAACAGTCTTTTCCCACAAATTGACCCATACAGTAAAACTATTGGGTTATGGGTGTCAGAAATACTCAGACTGCCCAGGGACTTTTATTTCTTTCTGTATTCATTTCATTTTATGTCTCCAGACGAAATTCATTGTTGACCTCCATGAAAAGAATCACCTTGTTATTATTGATGTTTTCCTCCTCTTTCTGTTCTCTCTCCTGGAAATCATCATATTTAGGGTAAGGTACTGTATACTCACAGCTGTAGTATGAGGTTCCATGAGTTCTAGAACTTTAGTTCTAATGTATGCAGAACTGATAAACCAGGCTTCTGTTTTAGAGGCTGTAATGCAGCCGTTACAGAATATGTTCTCTGGTAATTTTATGAAATGATACATTTACATTTTAACTATTTTATGAGCTAAAAGTCAGCTAACTATTAGCTTTTCTCAGCATTTATATAGTACATTACACATTGATATTGTTTAACTAGTGTCCATTTTGTTTTTCTTCCCAGTTTGTAAATGAATCTGTGAATCCAGTCTGTAAATGCTGAAAAGACAAAAGTCCATTATATTTTTTTTGTCTGTTTGTTTTTAAATTTAAAACAAAGTCTTTATAAACTGGACAAATAAACATTGGAAACGTTTATAAACCACTAGAGTGTTTGAGTCTAGCAACTTAATTATTATTAAAAATAATTGGTGTTTTTTACTGAGTCCCACATCAATATAGTTTCACACCAGGTTAACAGACGCTATTTTATTTAGGTAAAAAATATTACTATATTATATATCTCGCTCAAACTCTGAGGCACATATTTAAAATTCTTTTTCATCGTAAAACTCCGCTGTCATTCCTTCTAACTGTTTTAGAGGAATCCAGGCTAACACCAAAACATTACATAATAATTGAATCAAACTATGTTTTTGCAAAAATCCATTTTCTCTTTAAAACAAATATAGTTAGAAAAGTCATCATAATTGTGGCCACATTTACGTTGTTTTGTTACGTGGACTCATTTTTAGTCACTTCATGGTCTGAGAATTACCCTTTTTGTTCCACTTCATTGTACATGAAGGTGATTTGAACATGAACGTAATCAAACATGGTACATTAAATAATCATTTGCCTTGTGCAACACAGCTCATTTAAAACAGGTAAACATCAAATGTGAAACTGTGTGTTTTTCTCCCTGGTGGAGGAAATATTATTTCTGTGTCCATCTGATGGAGCAGCATTGTTACATTATAAAGTCTTAGGTTACAATATCAGCCACTTGAGCGAAACTAAACAGGCACCTCAAGACAAGTCACCATTCTTGGTTTTTTGTGTGATGTGAGCAGATACAAAAAAAGTAAATTTAATTTCCGAGGTTAATTTTTCATGCTAGCTGAATAACTGGAAAGTTATAAAACCCGGGGAAGAATTTACATTTTGGTAAATTGGAATTCAGCATAGACTATTAGGGAAGTAATTGGTTGTTTATATTGCTCATTATAAGTGATGAGCACTAAGTGCCAATATTAATTTGACTCGTGAAAGCCGACTCGGTGTAAACAATGCAAAGAGACAATCAGGCAGTCACATTCATGGAACAGCCGGTGTTTTTCTCTGAGTGTTCAGGTGAAATTACCCCAAGCTCGTCGCTAACAATCGAAAATCCCAACTCTGCTTTAATAGAGAATCAATTTTCCGCCTGCAGCCATGTAATTCTTCCTACAGCTCAGCAAACAAACTTGTGTAATAAGGAGGTCTCTGTGTTCACATGCAGTGGGAGGACAGTGACATGAACACCTCTACAACATAGTGCCGCAACAACAAAACAACCACCCTGCAATAAAGCACCTTTCTCAAGCCCTAGGTTTTAATAAGTTAGCACTGTTGTGACACTGTCAAAACAATATGCTAGCTATATTTATTGTAGAGCAATTAGAATACTCTTAGTATATTGCATGCTATTTTTCATGGAAATTTCCCTATTTGTATTAGCTATATTTTCTGTGGTTGTTACATTACAAAAATGACTGTATCTACAAAAATGAAATTTTAATAATACAGCCATTAAAATGGAACATTATGATGTCCTGTAACATTGCTCCGTTATGTGCAGTAATATGCAAAAGGTATCCTTGAAAAATACACTTTATCATGATTATAATGAATTGTTTTTTGGGCACACAGAACTGGGTAAAAAAACAAAACTCTTTTGCATCTTAAGATATTTTAGTTACAAAGAATTCACAGGACACGGTGTCAAGGGCACTGTTTCTCTAAACTATTTTTGTTTTTCATTTCTCTACTTTTTAGAAACTTTCGTGAATCCATTATCTTTTTTTCAAGCATGTTCTTAAAAGTCATGGGCTGTATCAATTTAGCAGCATGATAAAATGATTAATTTGAAGTGTAAGATGTTATAAAGACCTCATTTGATTGCAATTCATTGCTTTGAAAATATATTTAAAAAATGTCTTTAACACTAATTTAGTAGTGTGGCTGTGGTGAAAAGATGTCAGTTTACACATTATGAGTATTGCGTTATAAGAAGTATGAATATTTTGATGTGGTATCAGGTGGCCCATCCCTACTAATTAGAGAATAATTCATAGTTAGGGACTGGAAAATGACATTATCAGCATTGTAATGCAGGTAAAACTTGTTCAACATTTAAAACTCACTACTATTTAAAATGCTGAAAAGAGCAGAATAGACGCCAGAGTGACGCCTTGATTTATAATATATGAACGATTTTCTTAATCCAGTGATCATAAAGCTGAGCTGCTGCGTTGCTGAATTTCACATTTCAATCGTTAAGTCCTGATGATAAATATAGCCGAACATCCACTTTGTTTTACAGCGTCACAACTGAGGCTATTGGTTCCAGATCATAAAGTCCTTCAACGCAGTGAGTGATATAGTCCTTTGGCTTCCACTGACTGGATTTAGCAGACCTGACTGTCCTTTTATTGGTTGCTGGCAATGATGTACGCAGTGATCAATAAGTAGAAAAGGACTGACCTTGCTGGAATCATCCACCCAGGGTTCAGGTGAGGTTGGAGGAGGGAGGTCCCAGGGAGTCAGTTTCTGGTATGAACACATACAGAAAGTGTTGGGTGTAATGTCAGCCAGTAACACAAACAAGGACACAAATCATGTTTCAAATCATAGAGCTGTTGATGTGAAATGAAACTAAAGTGCCGGCAATAGTATTTAATAATTCATGAGTGTGGCTAAGTGCTGACATTGAGCACTGATAAATAATATTAAATTGTTGAATTAATAAGTGAATATGTTGTTAAATTAAATCATTTATAGTTAAGATGATTCACACATAACAACATGACCTACAAGGACATGCTGACCATGTTTATTTGATGTTGATGCTGGACAAGAGTGAGAGTTTTTAAAACAAGATGTAAATCAACATCTTGACAATGACTCACAATTTGAAACAAAAACAAATTAAGCCGATAAGAACAACTAAAACTGATATTATCATCTTTTTAATTATTAAGCAGAATTTTCTGTCCATCTTGTGCACCTCTTTGTTTTCTAATGTTTACAGACAAACTATTGTTACATCGAAATAAATAACTAAGGCTGTTTTCTTGTAAGCTTTAAGGAAGGTAAAGGTAGCACATTTTTAATATAAACAATATGAGCCATCTCTGCGACCAGCCCTGGCACCAAAGACAAAATGAGCTTTAAATTGTTTGCCACAAAAATGTGCACAAATATGTCCAGAATTAACTGTAACTTTGAGTAAATAGACATATTGAACACAAGACATATCAACATATCTTATTCTTTTGTCAGTTACACCTTCTCTTTTACATTTCCTTTTTGTGTTTACCTGGTTTTCAATATTTATTTCATAAAAAACACAGCAGGAGTTGGATCTTTGTATTAAATAAATTTTCCTTAAGACAATCATGAGCGATAACATGAGCATGACTGTTGCAAGGTTTTCACAGTGACGGACATTTTCAAATAATGTAATAATCTTTTAGAGAAATGGTGAGAGTTTTGAAAACAATTCAGTTAAAATGTGAAATATCGTTCACAAAGGCTGAGGCATGGGGAAAAAGAACGCTTCCTGCAGGGCTACCAGGTAGCTGGGTAGCTAATGGTACTTTGAGTGTCCTCTGGAGCAAAACTCTTTCTCTGCCCTACAAACATAAAAAATATTGTTAGGTACAAGGCTCCGATCAGAAAGTTTTGGCAACGGCTTCAGGCTGAGTCATCTGTGCAGCCCTTTCGGAAGAGATATAATAAATCTTAAGTACCTCTCAAGAAAGGGCGTTTGAGTAATATTCCTTGATAAACTCGGAGGAACTGCACTTCCTGTAAAATTTTACTCGAGGGGGCTTTAAAGCTGGATCTTAAGAGGTACTTCTGCCATTGTATTACAGCAGAGAGAGGCAACGCCCCGCACATGGTGACTTTCATAAAACATTATTGTGGGATTTTAAAGTTTTTAAAAAAATGTCCTTTCCTACAAGATGCTGCACAAGCAGAAGAGAGTGATGGTAGCTGAGTTATTAGCCTGCAGGGAACAGACTTCTGAGCATCATACCAACAATAATAAAACACTTGGAAAAGGCATCAATGTGTCTAACAAGCAGGTTAAAAAAATAACTACAAAATTTCAAAGTTTAGTTTGTGATGTTTTTGGAGTCAAAGAAATGGATTTTGTCTATAGTAAAGGCGTAAATATAACTTTTGACATACCAAAATCAAAAAATTAAAATTTTAAAAATGATCACCATCATTATGTTTAAAAATATATCATTCTTAAAAAAAGTAAAAAGACAGAACAGATATAAAATGATGAGCCAGCATTTGGATTATGGATTTTAGTTTCTTTATACATGTTTTCTTTTTTAATGATTACATTTTTCATGCTTTTCCTGGCTTTTGGTCATTTGATGCAAACAACCTTTTTTCCAACGATTTTGGAGCTATATTAAGACTTAGGTGCTTTTCTTCACCACTGGACTTCAGACACCAGTGGAACTAGCACTTACTGTACATCAAGGTGGAAGTACAATATACGGGGGCAAATAAATAAATAAAATAAACCTGAACACTATTGCATGTGTAATAAATCTGCCTGCATTCATAAGTAACCAAGTGATATTAAATGGAATGGCAGGTTATAATCTTCACAGGCAGAAAATAAAGTACCATTCTTCAACCAAAACCACAACATTGTTAACAGTCTGGGGTAAATAGAGGTTTCACATTTCAATGATTTTATATCTTCTCATAAAAAAGACCAACACACTCAACCATGGAATCATAATATGTTCCAAGTCTCCTGGTTTCTCCGTAGTTATCTATTTTCATAATGTGCTATATCAAAGAGAGCATATTGTAATAAATGGAAAAGCTGATTCTACAAGTATAAAAACATGTGAAACTGCAGAAATAAATCCAAACGGTGCAGAGATGGAACAGAACGGTGTGTGTAATATTCCACCGGAGAATTAAATCCCTACACTGTCTGATAAATCAAGCCAATACATTTTCACTCCTACAGCGTGTTCAAACCACATGCTGTGTACTTGTTTGGAAAAACGGGTCATTGCCTTGATCATGAAAGCTAATGTGTGCTGTAATAGAGCGTGATAAATTAAAACTGTTTTAACAGCGATGCTGCCATCGTCTGCATTTCGGTGCCTTCCACATCAAAGCAAGCTCTGCCCTGTCATTTATTCCAAACAAATTCTACAGTAATGGACACATTTTTTATTCAAAGAGGATTGAAAAAAAAAAAACACATCCTGATTAATAAGTGTAATATTCACATTTTCAGCTGTAAAACATTTGGAAGAAGTAAGACAGATGATTTTGGAAAATGTAATTTCAGCAGCTTCCTGGAAGATTATGACACCTGAATATTTGATGACGTTCTTTCTAGTCTTGTGTATCCATTACATATGCATTTTTTTAAATGTGTTTTTTTTTCACCCCTACATAAATAACAACCCTCATATGTTTATGATAATATGATAAAAATAGTTTAAGGTGACTGCATTTTGCTGATGTGTACATTTTTCACAGCTTACCAAATTCTGTCTGTTCATGAGACTTTCCACACCACTCTGGGGAAGTGGATTACAGCAGGGCATACTGCCTGCTCATGCAAATTGTTAAGACGCAGTAATGGAGTGTTCCTGCTGCTGCAGTCGCACTGCTGTGGTTCAGCTTTTTCAATGGAAATCAGTGGACTTTTGCAGACACGGCACTCGAAGGTCCCGGGCTTAAATCCAAGTAGACGTCTTCTCTGAAAGACAAGTAGACGGATTGGAAAAGTAGTCAAAAGACTTCAGCGGCACTTGTAGCGAGAACAACTTCATTCTTCTTCCAAGACTGTTTTTTATCCTCTGTGCACGTTGTCAGCCGGTGAGGCTGTGCCAGATACACCTACTCTGCTCCTAAGGCATCTGGATTGAACAGCAGGCTTATGGACAATTGTCCCTGTGATCCCCAGAGCACATTTGTTGATTCACTGCACAAAGGGAATGTAGTATTGATCGACTAAGCTGTTTCACTTTCTTCAGCTAATGCTGAAAAGATAGTTTACTGGCTGAGAGCATTGTGTGTTGCACTGTACCTATATCTAAAATCTGTTGTAGTTCCAATTCCAGCTCTGTGTTGGGAAAAACCTGCATCATCGAAAAAAAAATTGTTAAAATATACATAACTGCTCTACCCTATTATATTGACTGATGTAATAAGCCTCAGAACATATCACTGTCAAGATGCTACTTTGTTTTTTTTTCTAGTTCCAACACACACACACACACACGTGTATATATATATATATATGGTGTATAACATTATGAAAGCAGTAAAAACAAACAAAACTAAATATTTTTATTATGCCATTAAATCTAATTCTCATAGTTTCATTCAATCTTTTTTAATGTGTCTTCCTAAATATTTTCAATGGTATTTTTCAATATGTTATTGTGTGAGTGGGTTGTAAGCAGATGGAGCTTGAGACCCTGTAAGGCCCGTGGGCTTGCAGAACATGAACTTCTGACCTTTTGGACACATTTAGACCTTAAAAAGCACATTTTGCTACTTCTTATGGCTATGTTTTCTTCTGGCACAACTGCACAACAATAGTTTCAGAACATATTGGGTCACGTGATAGAACCTCTAAAAACACAACAAAACATCATCTAGAATGACAACTAACCCCTAACCCTCATCAGCTGAGAGACAGAGTAAGAAGTATGTTTATGCAAGAGGGGAAAATGACTACATTTAGCTTTTAACCTCAACCAAAAGTATTCATGGGTGAGAGAGGTTTACTGTCCCCCAGACCCTTTTTATACTTTCCCTTATATTCTTGCTTCATAGTGACACTCATTAGTAAAATAATTGCATGCTTAGGCAGTCAGCCATGCATAGGACTGAATACACACGATTAACATTCTATTTAAGGTAAATATGTGCTATGCTCTGATGACTTTTAATCAAGTTCCTTCTACTTTACTTTTGGTCTACAGTACATTGTATTTATACTGGTGACTGAAAAAAAGTCCCCTGTATGAAATCACTTCTAATAGGACAAAGAGCAGAAGGCAAGAGATTCACTTTGTGACAAACTCATCCATTAAAACGGATTTAGACGTTGATTTCATCAAGATAATATTGAGAGCCTATACACCCCCTAAATGGATTTTGTCTGAAGGTGCAAGAATTAGACAGATGAAAAGAATAATTCCAATACGCCGTTATAAAATATTCATCGCTGTAACTCAGCTGCGGCCTTATCTCAGAGGACTCGGCTTTTCTTAGCTCCACAGAGTTCATCCTAGTTCTCTAACAATCTTGTTTTAAGCACTTCTTAGGACCTCTCAGGCTCACGACCAGGGCCTTCAATAAACCTGTCAAAAAACTTTTTCATTGAAGCTGCACTGGGATTTCCTCGCTGGCTTGTAAGCACTGTGTGCCCTTGAGTGGTTCTTTTGTGAAGTTGGAAGATGTAGTATTAACACCATGTAAGGGCATAGGCTGTTGTTTGCCTGGCTTTCCAGACACAAAATAATGCTAACAAACATGAAGGAAGTTAAATCAGGTGCAAAAAACTTTTTTCCCCTTCGAATGCAGCCACAGAAATTCTATAATTTGTCTTTAGTTACAGTGAAAATAAACCACAACCAAAACGACAGGTATGGATCTTAAGGAATTAGCCACACTTAATCACCATACACACCATTAAACCTTGACTTTGCATAAGCCATTTATTGGGTGGAGTTTCATTTGCACAAACTATGGACAGATTCAATTCATTCTAGTGATTTTGTGTCTCTCTGATTTATAAATTTCATTTCAGGATGTGAAAACACTTTTCTAGTTCCCTCTGTCTTTTTTGAGAAGCTCAACATCATTATGCGGTTTCTGTACCTTCCATTCACAGGACTGAGAAAAGGTCATGAATATTTAAAATTCCTCCGACGATGAGCAAAAGCCACACTCCCCTGTGTTTGTACTTGGTGCATAAGGTCTGTATTAAAACATTGCCTCTAAAAACAAAATATACTCCTCATACGTTCATCTTCTGTATGCACTGATTCAGGCTGGTTTTATCAAGTCAACAAATCAGATCAAAGGTGAAGTAAGAGTCAACCATTATATCCTGAAAATGATCCCATCCATGATCCACTTGGACAGGGACTATACTATCTTTGAACCTCTCATTCTGCTTATAAAATATCAATAAGGTTGTGGAGATGAGGGAGTGAGCTTCCTATGATTGCTCTGCTCCATAATGCTTGTTTATAATGAAAGACGAAGCTGTGTTCAGTTTATAATAAAAAAGGTGTTCAACAATAGCTGTGTTGCGTTGGTTAGAAAAATAAACTTTTTTCTTAAGTACACTCTTGTACAAGTTGACAGCTTGCATATTAAGTAGAAATGTTTGCAGTAATTGTGTATCTCTCTCTCTCTGCCTTAGTTTATGAATGTTTTTAAGTCATTGTCTCAATTTAACTTCTGTTTAAACCTATGTTTTGTACAAAAACATATATCTACCGCTGGCCTGTTGACACTTTTGTGAAACCTTAAATGCTTTTGACTGCATATTAGGTCAAGTTGGATTTTCCAAAAAAATAATATCCCTCCACAGGACACAACATCAAATAAATTGTTTGCATAAAGTTGCCATGGCAACATTGTACATCATACTGCCCCATTGGCAAAGAAAGGTCTGTTTCAAAGCATAGAGAAGAAATTAATTTTCTTTCTAAATCGTAAACTTATTACAAATAAATGCCTTAAACTTGCCTTAAAAAAGTTTAAGTTGATAAAATTATTTCTGAAAATGTGTTTCTGAGATGCACAGAATATGTATGCACTGCAAACTCATGCCCTTTAAATTGCATTTCCAGACTAATAGAAAAACATATTTAATGACGGTCTGTTTCTTTTCTAAAGAATGTCCCTGACATTATCACTGACTTTTTATATTTGATTTGTGTGATCTTTCTTTATGATAAGAATCGGTCAAGATTTTTTTTAACCTCAGACAGTCTGTCTCATCTGTCTGTACCTCCCCCTCCTTCAGCTGTTAAATAAATGCAAACAGATGAGGTAAGCCCATTAAACCTGAGCATATTCATTATATTGTAATCAGAACATTTTGTCTAAATTTATACACAATTTCCTTTCGGCGTGACACAAAGCCACATCGTTCTCTCTCTCTATGGGCCCCGTTCCCTTTGGCTTTAACCACCTGGAATGCTAAAGATGACCTAGTCTCCATTTGCTACTGTAGTGGCTCCATCCCAACCGTTTTCCCCTGGAGTCAAGCAGCTATGAATAATGAGGTGAAACTCCATGCATTAATGTAGCAGCTCGGCCCCTAAAGGTACGTGTGATAGCAGGTGATTGTTCGCAGCCTCTGTGGGGCTGTCAGTAAACATGTGCCCCCTGTTGCGTGGGGTATTTTAGCAGAAGCAACCTCCACTGCCCACACCCCTCACCCAGCATCCTGGGAAATTATGGATGAGTTTGCAGCTAACCTCAAAGCAGCATGTTAGCTTTTAGGCCACCCCTGGCTACAAGTGATTTATGAGTACACATCAACATGAGCATTGCTTATAATACAGTGACATTTAAAGGATGAAAGAGATGAGACGTGCATCATGGGTAATTGAGCTCCCAGTGTTTGTACAGTAGAATTAAACATAGGCACCTACAGGCTTCGTATGAAGCAGCCTGGAAGCATGAATTGACAGATGCTACTTTCTCTCAATATGTTGAACGCCTAAATCTCACGTCTCAATATATGATCACAAGGCGTCTATGAATTTCAAGTAATGTGTAAAGTCTAGCAGCTGTAACCTTTTCTACAAGCTTGGCTGAGCAAATAATTGGAAATAAATTGGTCTGGCCGATGCTCACCTAGTACACCTTATTGACCACTAAAAGACAAGCTGCTGGTGCTGCAGGGGGACCGATCCCAGTTGAACCTAGCTCTGAGAAATTCTATAAAATCTAAACAAGCTCTTTTTTATTGCTAACTCAAAAGAAAAGTTATTTCTGCCAAAAAGTTGTGTTTCCTGCTGCATTTGTCTACTTGTCCGTGGCTCTGTCGAGCAGATGCAAAATCTAAGAGCAGCAAAAGCACAAAGGGATGATGTTTTTGGCAGTCAGTTTTTTTTGGTTCCAGGAACAAACAGCTTACTTTGCAGGAAAAGAGAGTATGTAGACCAGTTAGGAAAGTGGGCAGCCTTCTTGGCCCAACAGGGCATGGTGAATGGTCTGACAGAATCAGATCAAAACACCAAGTCTTGATCAGATTTGATTTAATTTTTAGGGTGTACGGAAAATAAATCAAAAACAGAAAATATTCACTGAGAACTAGTTATATGAGTATGGCAGAATTCTGCCAAAATAGAACTGAAAAATGAAAAGATAAAGATATCTACTTATAAAATATTCCTCACTAATGTCACATGTTTAAAAATTGAATAATGACCTAAAGTACAAATGGGAAAAATTCAAATTCTGAAGTACATCACCCACACGATATTCTGCTATAGCTAGCAGTAGTGAGTGTGCTGAGTTATTATGTTGTCTCTATAATGGCCTGTAATTTTAAGTCTGTTCAGCACAGACACAACATTTAACAGTATTGATGACCTGACTGTGCAGGTACAGCCACTTCTGGGAGAAGTTTATTCCTGTTAATGTAATAGTAGAGGAGCAGTGGGCCTTGGTATTCAATTGCATATAAAACAGACACATGGAGTCCCTCTGGGAAAACAG